TGCATTTCTTGAGTTACAGATTTCACCGGAAGGCTGCACGAGTAAACATGCGCAACAGGGTGCGATCGCAGCTGATGCTTTGCTCGGCGAAATCGGCAAATGTTGCCGAGATTTATTCACGCAATCGCATAAATCTGAAAAAAAGCTTCCGCCAGCTGCTATTGGAAAGGCATTCAGGTAAGAAAGAAAGAGATAAAATGCATCTGTACGTTCGTTAACCGTTCATTTTTATCCATTCTGTGCAGTGTAACAGTAGTACAAAACGCATATTGTCGCGGGGTTGTCTGTCTGTGTGTATGTTTGTGTGTGTGTGTGTGTGTGTGTATGTGTGTGTCCCACATTTTGTCCCACATTTTCAACTCGGGAACCACAAAAGCTACGCGACTGGAATTTTAGTGTAATGATCCCCGCCAGCGGGTGACGCTGCAAATTTAAATTCAGCCTTCCCATATCCGGGAGTTGCATGTACAACCCCGTAAAAGTTTTTCGGGTAAAACCAATATCTGGAGAACTACGAAAGTTAGGAAGCTGAAATTCAGTGGGTGTGCCCCCTGATCACATATGACGTAAAAAATTCAAATTTAACCTTCCTGTACCCGCAGGTATCACGTACAGCCCCGTACAAGTTTTTCGAATAAAATCAGTATCTTGGGAACCACGGGAGCTGAGAAACTGAAATTTCATGGGTATGTTCTCTACCCATGTGCGACCCAGAGAAATTGAACTTAACCTTCCCGTGCCTGCGGGTAACATGCACAGACTCGTAAATTTTTAGCGGGTAAAATCATTATCTCAGGAATCGCGGAGACTTCGGAGCTGAGATTTTGTGGGTATGCTCCTTGACCACGTGTAACCCAGAAAATTTAAATTCAATATTCCCGTGCGCCTGGGTATTGCGTGCGGCCTCGTGAAATTTTTGGCGGAAAATTATCTTGGGAACCATGAATTTCAGGACGATATTTTCTGCCGCTGCGGTATCTCACAAACACAAATATAGCTCCCAAGTATGCAAAGGTCTTACGTAAGACCACATGATAACTGTGATGTGCAAGCCGCTAGCTCGGAAGTCGAAAAACTACATGGTTGGATTTAGAGGGATGTTCTTCATCCATGTTTTCAAATTCAGCTTTCACGTACCAGCACGTGAAATTTTCAGTGAGAAATTCCTCATCTTAGGAACCAGACAGCATATCTATCGTTTTTCTATATACGAAAGTGTAAAACAGTTGTATTTTTAATAAGCAAACGTCCTCTGAACGGAACTGCGCAAAACGCATGATCGCACCGGCCACCCTGGTGCGCTTCGCTATTTGTTATATGTTGGAGTAAGTCGTTATTTTCGATTACTGGCATTCCTTCTCGATGGAGTACTGCCAATCGGTAGGACTGCTTTCATCCCTATTCCTCCTGTAGTTTTTCCTTTTCTAAACTAAATTTGTTTTTAATTTTTTTCTTGATCAAACTGACCCTGCGTCAAATGTTCGCATCCCCTCCTTTCACTTCTTTGGAATTTCCCAGTTTTTACTTCACTCGGATAACTTTTGGTTACGTGAAGAGAGTTACTAAAGGTACAGAGCTGGTGAGTCACAGCATCGGCCTCCAAATTTAATTTTGGTCCACTTACTCTACCTTGAGGCAAAACATGGTCACATGTGTAACTGTGGATAGTACCTTAGCACTGCCAGCTTCTTTTCCGCGTATTTTAGTTCTGGCTTGTACACGTTCTCATTGTCGCACACCTCCCCCCTCCTTTCCCCGTACACACACACATACACACACACACACACACACATACACACACATACACCCACACACACACACACACATACACACACATACACACACACACACGCATATGCACATACGCATACGCACACACGAACACAAACATACGTATATAATAGGCGTGCATACATGTTTTATTGGGTGTTAGTATTATCGGCTGCTTTCTATGTTTTTTATTTGGGCACACCTGTGAAGTGCTACATTAGCAATGCCTTCATCTTCACATGCATTGTTTCTGGAAATTTTTTGTGCTGTTTTATTTCTTTCACTGTTATTGCTGTCTTTTCTGTGTACTTCGGCCTTTTCTTTGTATAACGGGATAATGGCATACAACCAGATCCAGTCAGTTTTGATGAATTTGATTGCTGGAAGCCATGGGAGATTGAATAGTGGAGTGAAAGGATTGGAATTAGGTGTCATGTATAAGAAGACATTTCATGATGCAGTCTCTGTGTTTCATCCTTTAGCTGCATACACAGACTGAACAGTGCATGCGCGTAGGAGTGGGAATCGTCAGTACAGCCTCCTACCCGCCATGTATTGAAAAGACATGTAACTAATTT